CGTTCGTGTCTTCTGTACATTAGGAGGACGATACATTGCATACGGGATAACACACAAATGTTGAGTAGTTTTCCTTACGATAAAACCCAACATGTAAGAGGCATGCGTTCTAGCATCGTAAGTGTTATATACTATGTTTCCACGCGGTTTTTTATGTCGTGTAGGGTGCTGACCATTTAGCAAAAAAATCCGGAAATTTCGGTTGAAAGTCAAATGGAACAGTAATTTTCTGGAAAATCCGTTCGGAAATTGTGGACTACCCCCAGAGGTAGTCCTCTTTTTCCGTTCGGAACGGAACGGTGGAAATTTCCTCACCATTTGCTAAATTTTCCAGTTTCCAGTCTCTCATCAGCCGAAAACAATTACGAGAAATCGAATTGCAAATGGTAAGCGCCATCTCGTTCGGTTGGTTTGCTGATTTTGGAAAAACCCTTACCATTATTCAACGGTCATTCCAACCGGTTTATTCCGACAAATGGTAAGCACCCGTAATGTCAGGTACTAGGTAGTGCCACTTTTCCCTTTTTAGTGCAAAAGTTAAAGGTATCTTTTACAATAACCCACAGGTCGGTTCAACAAATATCATCTGCTGTTTTCAAACTACAATAGTATGCTTGTCAGGGTTTAAATAAAGAAGGGAAATGTGAAGTTTCTCCGCACTGGCGGCCTTTTTATTTCTCGCCTTAACTGCGTCTGTAAGAGAGACCAAAAAGTTCCCGAGTTAGTGGCTTTAATATTCTGCAAATTGTAAATTTGTGACAAAAAAAACCAGGAAAGTGCTCAGATATTGCTGCAGACTCCGTGGCACCTAACTGAAAGCGGAAATTAATTTAATCAGTCTTTGAGGAGACTCGTTCATCGATACAGGATATCGGCCAAGTAGCGCTGTTTACCTTCAATACTTCTCATTGAAACGCTCCCCAGTGGTATCAATCGATATTGTTGTGTATTAATTTTGAATTGTTTTATTGTTAACAACAAAGGTGGCAACAAAAAAAGAAAGTGGTATTCCGTGACTATCTGATAATTAAATTAGTTCTTGTTCATATGTGATAGGAAAATTTGCGTTTTGAGAAAAAACAAAATTGTTTCGCTTCCATTTCTTCATCAGATATTTAACTTTCCTTCATTTATCCCATAAAACAAGCTCATCTTCCGCGTCTTTTGGCGAAAACAAGAGTTTCATGTTACATTCCTTTGCGAGGAAAACAAAAGTGTCAAGTTACAAAGTTGGCGCGAAAAGCTAAATTGTCACGTTTGTTCGACATATTTTATTGAATTTAAAATGAACGAAAATCATCGTAAAACACCAGAGTAAAATTCAAAAGCTGTCGTGACAAACAGTAATTGTACGTAATTTTCGGACCTTGAATGAAAATACAACCTTGAAACGTACTCACTGCAAAGGGGTAAAGCCCTAGCAGACTACCAAGGTAGATACAAACCGGAAGTGAACCGAGCAGGGGTGAGTACTTATGGGACTACCGTGCTAGAGCTATCAATTGCAGTCTGCACTATCTGAGATTTCTCACTAGTCGATTGTTAGTCCGGTTTGGAGAGGTGTGTGACAGTACATACCAGTATTTTGGGGTGTTTTAGAGTGCATTATTTTTAGTTTAATGGTGGCTAGTTATGAACGAGATAAGTCTTGAGTTCTAAAGCAGTTCAAGACTTAGTAGTGTGCAAATGGGACAAGGTATATTTATTTTAAGTTACAAAGGGTAACTTTTGGTTTTTACAAGGAGTAAACTCAATTAGAGGTCACGAATCGTCGCTTCTAGTTCTTAGGACATGTTTTAGAGGAGACGAGACTATTTAGATTTGAAACAGTTCTAACGTTTACAACAGTAAGTGCAGGTAACGATTGTTTTGCTCTTGTTGTATGCAAGTATATCGATTTTAGTTACAAAGGGTAATTTGACACTCTTGTTTTTCACAAGGGAGTAAATTCAGTTACAGATGACTAATCGTCACTACTTGTTCCCATGAAATGTTTGAACAAACAAAACGAGATATTATTATTTTTAGTTACACGTTTTTCACATGGGAGTAAATTCAATTAGAGCTGACAACTTATCGCCTGTTGTTCCCAGGATATTAAACAAAAAAGAAGCTAACATCTTTGGACAGTTTTTAAGTGTCTGTTCCAGCAGTTTAATGAATGGGTATTTTACGACATTCATTTCAGTGTGAGATCTTTGTATTTAAAGATAAAAAAGTGTGAAAAATGTTGAAATGTTCTTTGAAGAATGCGTGGCGCCAAGTTAAACTACAAGTTAATTAAATCAGACTTAAACGTGTCAGAGCCGAGGTTCTTTCTCTTTCTTGCTATTTTTGGTAAAGTAGTGTTGTTGCGTTGTGTAAGAGGTAAACTTATGACTCGTATAAAATGAGTAAAGTTCTCTCAACTTGAATATTTTTATGCAAAAATTCCTCATAGGGTTGGAAGGGCTATATGGTCAGTGAGCGAGGGAGTCATTCCTGTGCGCACGTCACACCAATCACAGTGTGGGTTGTATCAAATAACGAATCAAATTGCGTGTTAAAAAATAGGATGGTATCTGGAGACGTATCAAATTACTGAAGTTTGCTCAGTAAAACATTTTGCATGTTGTCGATTTAGGTTTATTGAGGGAGAATTATATATGAAAAGTACTTTGTGTGACGCTCAGCTGCTTACAACGCACACGCTGTCAGCAAAATGCCCAACACTAAATTGTGATTTGAGCGTTCGTTTTGGACGGGCTTGTTTTGCTGACCAAAGTGAAAATTGTAGAAAGTACTCATCTGTGTTATCATGAAGTTATCTCTGTGGTTATTACAAATTGTTGCAGAAATGGAAATGCTGTTGTTCAAACTGAGTACGTGTGCGATGAGTTATCAACAAAGATTTGAAGCGTTAGTTTATTGAAATTTAGAGAAAAGGCAGTGTTTTCTTAAATGTGAAACAAGTGAGGGATTGTGCGCAAAAGCTAGGGATTTCAAGCTCATATGTTTGATCGGTTACCAAAATTATTCGGAGGGAACAAGATGCTCTGCAAATGAGTTAAAAGGTGTAAGATCGAGATATTGTATTTTCGTGTGTAGCGGAGGATGCAAAAGGATGACTGAAAGACTTAAGCTTAGATGTCGAGAACGTTCAAGAATTTGTTCCACAGTTAAGATTGCCATACAGAAAAATAGAGATAAGACGCTTATTTAATTAATATATACACGGCACGAAAAATCGCCTTTACCGCGCGTCAAATGTGTGGTTAAAGGTTTTGTAAAAGCCTCCTTTGTACGCTTTTGACGATCTGTGACGCGAATCAAAGATCATCTTTGAATAAACCTTTACCACCAAAATCAAAGG